CCAACCAATACAAATCCAAAATACTCACCACCCAAATCTCTGTTAACCACATCCTATGCATACCAACTATTAATATACATTTGTATTTGATATATATGGCAACAAGCTTTAGTGAAAAAGCTAAGACAATGCACAATTGGACTACTCAAGACTCTGGTTCCTATGGTCGCTGTTTCTATATTATACTTTCTGAAAGATGATTGCAATCTGAGTTCCCTCTTCACGTATACTCTTTGGGACCTAACACATTAACTTATCGGAAGCTCCACGCTGAAGATGTTGAAATTGCAAATTTTGGTTTACAGTACGATTTCCAAGAGCCAAAATGGAAGAAAACAAAGGTCAAGATGTTCAAACAAGCTACAACTATACCAAGATTTCCAAGAACCATAGTCCAGTTATTCCCAGAAACTCAAAACAAAATCCATCGCAAGTTCCAGAATTAATACACGATCGATCGAGATCAAGAGAGAAAGAGAACCTGAAAATACACCACGGGTTAGCTCTTCTTGCTTCTCTACAGTCTGAAATCAAAATTCCCAATTTGAGAATCAGATACAGAAACAAATCTATCGAAGAAAAACAAAATTGAATGATAGTAAGCATCGGAACCAGAAAATAGTATAATTTGGCAAGTCGTGGTTTGCCTTGTGTGTTCATCATCATCATCACCGCCTTTTATCTGATTTCGAATTGCCCTAATTATAATCGAATTCGAAATTGGAGAAGAAGAAGCGGCGCCGTCACGAGGATCGGTCAACTCGATGGTTACTGGTGAAGAAGACGACAAAATTAACCACACGAAAATGTTTATAATCGGAGAAAACGAAATCGACGGTGATAATTTCACCTCCAGTGTATCGGAATCGGATATTCAGACGTACCGCATCCACTCGATCGAATCAACGATCGTGATCCGTCAGTTACCGTCGCAAGGCATCTCCTTCAAGCTTTGGCTTCCTGCAACAACACTCGTCACGCTTCTCGATAACTACCGTCGTGACCCAAACAACAGTCCTCTCACTCGCACACTCTCGAATTTCTCATCACCGGTTAACATCGTCGAGCTCGGATCTGGAACAAAGATCGTCGGAATCGCGGCGGCTGCGACGCTTGGTGGTAACGTCACGGTGTCGTCGAGAATCTCAAGTTTAACGCCGACGCGAACGGCGAAGTGGTGACTAGATCCGGTGGTAAAATCCACGTGGCTTCTTTACGTTGGGGAGAAATTGATGACGTGGAGAGTTTGGGTCAAAAGGTTGACTTGATACTAGCCTCTGTCCTCTGACGTGGTCTACCACTTTCATCTTTGTGAACCTCTCTACTCAAAACGCGCGTTTAATGCTCTTTGAAG